GGAAAAAGATAAAAATCATTAGGGCAAAACTTTGGAGAAGTTGATCAAAGTCCTTATAAATGGTCTCCATGAACGTAGATGGCCTACCCATATATGCAGTGTCTTGAAAGATCAAAAGAACGTAATGAACCAGGCCTATAGTACTACTATAGGAAACGATATCTTCTCTATCTTCTCTAAAGCAGAACACACATGAATCCGTTCGCTAATCTCTTGGCCTCAAACAAAAGCAAAAATAATAGGTATCAAAAATGCTGTTTTCGTTGAGCTGACATTCCATCCTAGCTCAAAATTTCAAGCAACATCGAGGCATGAAAACGATGAATGAGGATTGTAGAGCAAGGCAAGATTCGGGAATGTAGATAAGACTTGGGTGAAAGTTTAAAATTGTGCAAAAAAAAATTACGAAGCTTGTGTGGCTGCCCAATAGGGGATTTAAAAAGAGTAAAATATTAAAAAAAACATTCTCCACATTGGTATCTTTCGAGAGTAAGCCTCTTTCATACACTGGCGGTATTTCCCCTACCTACGCCTGGTGAGTAAATATTTCTATAGGCTGACTCGCTGTGCAAAGATGCCGATGATGACAACCCTGGTGGTGTGGTGCTATTTGAAGGAGAAGTACGAATTTGCATTACTTACTGTAGCTGTTGAAATTTGTGTTTGCTTTTCAGCTTCAGATAGTGTCGTCCGAAAATGCCAATGCGCATATACCCGATCCAGAGCTTGAACGTAAGATTCTTTTGCGTTGTGTTTGAGCAGCTAACTCTATTTGCAATATATAACTTTCTTTTTCAAATCGAAGCACTAACTTTGAAGTTTACTATATCATCGATCTCTTTTACACTCCTATCTTTCTGCATGTTGACTTTGAAGAGTCTTATAATTTTTCTTTCTTATAATCATTGGTATAACAATAAATTTCATTTTAAATTAAGCCGCATTATCATATTTCAGTGCTATATAGATACTCTTTTCGAGAGATTTGCGGTTAACAGGTAATGCAAAGTGGGCAATATCAGCGTATTCATGTGGATCAGCTACCTTACGAGTCGCTAGGAACTCGGGGGGCAGCCACGTATTACATGGGCAGATGCATGAAGTAATACTCAAAAATGCTCTACCTTACTCGAAGTAGCGTAATCTAATTCATCATTAGTTAATTTAATAGCGATACCCAGTGCAATGTATTTTCTGGAGATAACTCATATCCACAGCAAGCAAATGTATTTCTTGACCTAAATGTTTCTAGCATTTATACTGCCTATGCAAGGTCTGCTCTTAAATTAAATTTTAAGAAATTAAAAAATCTTAATTTTAATTTTTTTATTCAAGAGGTGTCTATCTATATCAAAATCTCTGAAGTCGCTCTTTTTGCCTTCTT